TTCATGGTGAGCTGGTCCTATAGACTGGTGGTTAAGGGAGCCAGATTCTACATGGCTGACCCCAGTTTGAATCCCAACCACAGTGGCTTGAAAAACATGCAGTGTATGTGTATATATGCACACGTGCACACGTGGCCAAAATCCTGACAAGATGGGGAAATGAAAAAGGGTTTGCAGCTTCATGACATTCCATTAGAGGAAGCTTTCTCTCACTGTTTCTCTCTGGCAGGCACATACACCCTCTGGCAATTAAACAAAGAATTTCATGGCAAAATCCTTTTAGGGATTTCAAACGTTAGAGCCAACCAGGTTTCCATGCAGTAAGAGCCAGGTATCCCACAAGGGTAAGTGGTGGTTGGATGGGAGATAGAAGATAGGGTAGTGGTTAAGGCACTGTCGACCCACATGGCTGACCATAGTTTGTGTCCCAGACCTGGTTTTGCTTGAAAATCATGCCAGGTACATGTCTGTGTGTGTGCATGCCCAAAGTCCGAAGAGAATGGAGAAGGGATTGCAGTGTGGCCATCCCACCTGGGGATGGGGGTGATATTCTCAACTTCCCTGTTTCTCCTGCAAGCCCATGCACCCTGTGGTAAAAATCTGTAATACAAGTGCTGGTTGGGAAGGGCCAGGCACTAGCACTCTGTCCAGACCCAATCCAAGCTGTGATTGTAGGAGCCATGTAGGACAACTAGTTAATCACTTCCATGTGTCTCTCGTCTTTCAGGTCAAATTCAACTTCTTGAAGCTTTAAGGACAGGATCATCACTACCTATGCCATCTCATTTCATATTCTCCTATAAAACACTTACATGAAATGGTGAGCATTCCCCACCTTAAAACTTGTGTTCTCAATGCACCAAACCTAACTGTAAGTTACTCTCCCTGTTAGACTTAAGACAAATGTTCAGAAACAGAATTTACACTAGAATGTCCTTCAGATTTGACAACTGACATCTAGCCTTACTTCTGATTTACCATTTACCCTTACATTCAATCTTACCCCTGAAAGAACAAATTTTACACAGGCTTCTCTTAACAGCATAAAGTCTTCTGAGGCTGTTAATGGTGTCTGCCCTACCAGAAGCACATGTGAAGAGCAACCTGAGAACCAAGAGCAAGGCTTGGTCACAGCCCTGATACGAGTTTAGTACATGTTATCTGAATATCCTATTAACATCTTAGCTCCAGGGCAGTGTGTCCCACAAAGACCTTGGAAAAAGGTGATTTAAAAGAAATGCTTATTACTCATAATTGCCATGGTATGAAAAAAAAACCCAAGTATCCATCAATGGATAAAGAAACTGTGGTATATATGAGGGGTCTTCAAAAAGTCCACCCGAAAGGTGTATCAGGAAAAAACTATGCAGCCTTGAAAATTTTTTACCCCAAAGTAAACTTGTACTTTAATTTCATTTTTCCATAAACTTTTTTGAATTCCCCTTGTATATACAATGGAATATTAATCAGCCTTAAAATAGGAGATCCTGTTATTTGCCACAACAATGGATGACCCTGGAGGACATTATGCTAAGTCAGGCACAAAAAGACAAACAATGCATAATTTCGCATGTGCAATCTGGGTGGGGGAGGAAGGTGTGCGGAGTGGGGGTTCAAATATACATAGAGTAAAGCAGTATTATTGATACCAGCAGTGGGGAGAAGAAATGAGCAGATGTAGGTCAGAGAATACAAAGCAGCAGGTACAGGACAAACAACTCTACAGGTCCAATGTACAACAGGAGAGCTGAAGTCAACAGCTGCTCTTGTCACAAAACAAGTTAACAGGCAATCGATATATTCATTTGCTTCACTAGTCAACATTTTGCTATGTGTATGTATCCCATAACATCATGCTGTAAACCTTAAATATTCAATATATACAATGAATAGTTTTTTAAAAAGCAGTATAGCAATAGCTATTGGAGATACAGTTAGGCAAATATAAAAACAAAAGAAAACAAACAGAAAAGGAATGCTTGAACCAAGATTCTGTGGAGCAAAAAGCTTCATCCATCATAATCTGGAGCGGAATTTGCTTTATTCTTTCTTTCTTTCTTTCTTTTTTGGAGAGGTTTTTGCTATAGGGTGCATGCACTCGCTAGGCAGAGAGAGAGATAGAGAGAGAGAAAGCGAGAAATCACCCCCCAGAGGGGATGGCCATGCCACAATCCCTTCTCCTTTCTCCTCTCGGGATCTTGAGCAAGCACGCACATGCGCCCGGTGTGAGTTTAAGCCACCGGGTCCGGGACGCGAACCGTGGTCGACTACATGGGAGTCCAGCGACATAGCCATTATGCTAACTTCTGGTCCAACTTTATTCTTAAACATGGCAGAAGAAAAGCAGGGGTGGGGGCGGGAGACCTTCAGTTGTATCATCTTGACTTTAAACCACCACTGTCACCACAAAAGCCACTTGTTCAAAGTAGCAGTGTCCGAGTGCTAATGAATGCTTGTATAATAGAAGGGGCTATCAAAGTGTTTTGAGGTAATCACTTACAAGAAGCTAAGCCAGCAGATGGGAAAAGATAACAAATGACAAAAAAGGCACACAATGTTGATCCTTGGCCTGGAAATGAGATGTAGATCAACTTTGGAGTGCATAACTGCCCCATAGCATGTTCATTCTTACTCCCCTTCTCCCATTTTTCAGCTATAAGAGGATATCATAGATGACTCTGGTGACCCATTACCAGACAATGAACAAAGGAGTCCTTTGGCATCCTTAAAGACTCCACAGACAAAATGGCCTTTATTTACTCAAACCTCTTTTGATCATATGATGCATGGTTTGCAAAAGGCCTTGTTATGGGCAACTTAAGAGAACCAATCTCCCGGACCAGCAGTTGTTGTAATGGCTATGTCACTGAACTTCCATGTAGTCAACCAGTTTGAGTCCCAGATCTGGAGGCTTAAACTCACGCCAGACACGTGTGTGCGTGCCCAAGATCCTGAGAGAATGGAGAAGGAATTGCAGTGTGGCCATCTCCCCTAGGGGGTGATTTCTCACTTTCTGTCTCTGTCTTTCTGGTGAACGCATGCACCCTATAGCAAAAAAATAAAAAAATAAATAAATAAATAATAAAAAAGAGAGCCAATCCCCTACAAAGGTAGGGCAAGAAGCCAAGAGTCAGGGATCCAGGAAGCCAATCAACTGAAGAAGGACCTGCCTTTCAGACTGGAAATACAGACCCAGCAGGTAGCATGGAGGTTAAGGCACTGGATTTCACATGGCTGATCATGTGGTTCAAATCCAGGACCTGGCTGTATGGAAATCATACTAGGTGGATGTGCATGCATGCCCAAGGTCCTGAGAGGACAATGAAGAGATACACAACATGGCTATCCCCCAAACCACCCCCAGGACTGATTTCTCACTTTTTTCCTTCTCTGTGGCAAGAACAGAGGTACAGGCTAAAGCAAGGGTAGGAGGCAAGGGCTTCATTTCCTGACTTCTTTTCACACAGGGTACTTGCTCTCTCCATTGTCTCTAGTCTGAATGGTGTGCCTCAAGGCAGTCATATAAAGCTCTTCTTTCTGCCTTATTTTAAGATTTTTGTGGGGGAGGTATCACCAAAAACCAGATTCCCTTCTGGAGGGTTCTTCCCCCTTCCCCACAACACAGAACTATTAAGACATGTAGTAGGGCAGGTCAATAAGAAAGTCAAGGTTTGGGGGAACTTCAGGCTTTTTATGATTCTAATAACCCTCAGGTTAAGATATACATGTCATTAAATTAACCAGTTAATACTCCCACTGTAGGAAATACTCCTGGGAGATGCTCATGGCACTTCGCTGAGTGTCACAGGGAACTGAATACTGGTCTTTTCCTAGGCATAAGGATCAAAGTTGGGGACTAAGAATCTTTCTTGAGTGACATCAAAACCTTATTCTAGGAAATGGATGACTCAGAGGAACCTATAGTAGAGGTTTTATATTAACAAAAATATTTTTAAACCACCAGCCCTGACCATTAATTCAGGAAACAGCATAATCAGCAAGCAAAAGAAAGCAGCTTCCTCCAGAGAGAGGACTTGAGATCAAAGTGGTCTTGAGGGCCAGAGGCACACATTTCACAGCTTACTTCAGTCCCTCTTGAGTCACTCTTGTCAAAGGCTAATTGCAAAGTCAATTTTATAATATTCAGCAAAACTGAAACAAAAGCAGACCTGGGCTTCAAAAGTAAGGAAGCACTCTTCACCATGCTCCAGAAGCATGTGACTTCCCAAAGTAAAAGAGCAGTACCCTTATCTGATGATGTTCAAAGAAATTTGCTGAAAATGTTGGGATGCACTCTAATCCATTTTTAAATTGGGCATATTTACCTTCTTGAAACTGTTTATTTAGAAGGGCTGAAATTAAATGCCAAATGGGGCCGGCTCTGTGGCCTGGTGGGTAAGGCCACTGGATCCCACATAGGCAACTGCATGGTTTAAATCCCAGACTTCTTGGTTTGAGAAACATGTTGGTCACGGAAGCGTGCATGCCCAAATTCCTCAAAGGCGAGATGGAGAAGTGATTGTGTAACCATTCCCCACGGGGTGTGCTCCTCTCTCTCTGTCTCCGCGCTGAGTACACACACCCTCTAGCAAAAACAAACAAATAAATGTTGAACATACGCCAATTACTGATGAATGAAGGGAAATAATCACATTTAGAAAAACTGGTTCAAAAGAAGTAAACATAGAAACTACTCTCCTCCTATAATAAAGCACCTGATTTGGATCCCCAGGAATAAGAACTAGAGACCAAGCAGGCATAGCATTATATATCCCATCCTATAATTCAGGTATTGCACTGAATTACACTGTACCTAATTCTCAGCCAATCCCAGACATCTTAAGTCCTATGGTTGAATAAAACTGCTGCCAATGTCTTCCCTTGGATTAACAATGCAGCCAAAATAGTTTAGATACAAATAAGAGCTATCAATAGACAGCCAGACATCTAAACCAAACCTTCAGCAGAGAGATCAGTACAGATATGATATAGACCCCAAATCACACACATACACTTTTATTAGTTTCCTCTACAAGAGACAATAACATCAATCTTTTTAACAAAAATCTCAGGTCATTTGAGAGGCCTAACAGATCCAAGGGAGGAAAATGAAAATTAAATACTTAAATTAATCAAAAGGCACTACAATACCACCAAACCTAATACCACAGTGGTAGTAGGCTAAGGAAGATTAAGCTACAGCAAATCACCTAAAGTGAATGTTAATGATTATACAGCAGGAAGCGAGTTTGCTTTCCAGAACACTGGGATAATGATCATTTGGACTCAAGAAGATATCTGGCCGGGAAAAGGTCAAGACGGCTGAAGGTAAAGCCAAATCAAAAGGAATAGGTACAAAGGAGAATCGAAGCTACATAGGTCGAGCAGATGGCGATGGATCAGGCTTCTTCCTCCCAAGAAACATTTGTTGAGCTGTGCTAAATCATTCTCCCCCCCCCTCCCTCATCAAACCCCCCTCCCAGTACCTATTCAAGCTGAGATGCTTGCTCCTACCTTACAGGGTACTCAGCTAACAGGACTAGGTTTGGGGCTGCCCAGGGCTCCTGCTATAATTTAGCATAGACCTTAGAGAAGCTCTCACATACATGGGTTGGCTTTGTTGCTAGCTGTTAGGAACAAAGAAAACCCTGAAGCATTCACATGCAAAGCAGTCTGAGCTTCCTAAATCACTTTCAAACACCCCTACACAACACCTTCAAAAATCTGAAATCTTGCAGCAGCTGAGTTGTATAGTTAAAGCTGCAAGGCTCACAAAATCATCAAGGAAGCCAGAATGAGACAATGCAGGTAGGATTTCCCAGCAGTCTTCAATCTGACTTTCCTTAATTTAGGATAAATTCTAATATACCTGATGTGGGATGTAGAAAGCTACACTGGAGCAAGCTGGGTCTTCTGCTGAATTTGTCATCAAATACCAAGGGAAAACAAGGGATGAGGTTGATTTTATTTTTAAAAAGCCTCAGAAGTTACTCTATTATAAAGGGACATGGCTGAACAGGTAGGAAACAGATTCCCCATTGTGGGTTCTCCTGATGGCTTCTGCCAGGATCATGGAGATGTCGATAACCTAGAAAGGTAAGAAGGGCATTAAGTTAGTATCACATGGACAGCAATGAGTGGCCATGACTGAAGACATTTGTGAATAGGCTAATGAGTGCCTTTCATATTAAAACTGATACACTATGCTGTTTCCTCTCTTCACAGCAACATTTGTTTTTCTTTTTCCCATGAGGGGGACAGAAACTGCCATCAGGGTCCTCACACTGAGATCCCTCCTGCCTCAGACTTGGCCAGCCAGGATCACAGGCATGTGTGTGTGTGTTTCCAGTATGCTCAGAGAGGTCCGGGGATGTGAACCCAGAGCCCTCCCATGTGGGTCGAGTAGTATTGCTGCATAATAACGCTGCCTGCCCCAGCAACATTTAGGGAAGAATCAAATGCTAATGGAGGAAAAATTGACTTAGGCTCATCAAAATAGTAGGTTGGCATTTAAAAACCCTTAAAGATGGGAAAAAAAATAGTCTTTACAGTGAAAAAAATATCCTTAAGAATGACAGCACTCTAATTGTAACGTCAGTAAGCTAATGGATAACTGCATACATTTTAAACTAAGTAAGGCCTTGTTTTCTTTTTTTAAATTTTCAATTTATTTCTTTCATCTTATTCTTTGTTTTTATAGATGTTTTATTATTTTTCATACATTAAATCGCTATACATCATTTAGATTGTGAAGAGACCATACCCGACATGACATACACCTCAGTCCAGCCTAGTTGAGACTATTATACACATTCTCATCAACAGATAATAAATCTTATCTGTGTCCTACAAGTGTCTTACCTCTCCATTTTAATTTCTTTTCCTATGCTCTTCCCCTCCTACATACTCTTTCCACTTTGTCTCTAGTGTCCATTACAATTTTTAATGCTTTTATATTCTCCAGTCTTTCAGTCTCTACCATAGAGTGCAGACAGTCAGTATATGTTAAGTGAGACATACAATGTCTCTTTCATATCCTGACTTGCTTCACTCAGCAACAAATCTTCCATATCCATCCACTTTCTATCAAATTCCAGAAGGCCTTGTTTTCTTAGTGTGTCAGAACTTGTACTTCACTATCTAACAATTATTTGGGAAATTATTTTAAGATACTATGACCTTTGGTCTTGTAGGTATTGGATGAGGCAAAGGAAACTACATGTTAATAAAAACCTTTTTAGGTCCAGAGCATACTTTGAGAAACCTTTAAACTGATATATATTCTTTAGAACTTCAGTTCTAAAAAAACTAAAGTTCCAGATCTAAAGGATGTATAATCATTTTAAAGGTTTCACATTAAGTCTGCAGGGACCAACAGTTACAAGTTAAGACAAACACACATTATAAAGCATGGACTAGAAAACGTTAATGTGCAATACAATTACTGGGAGAGCCTATTAAACTGTAGAATCTAAGGCTCCATCTTTCAGATGCTGAGATCTAGCCATTCAATTATTTTTTTAAGAAAGCTTTTTGCTAAAGGGCACATGCACGCACCAGAGAGACAGAGACAGAGAGATAGAAAGTGAGAAATCACCCCCGGGGGGGATGGCCACACCATAATCCCTTCTCCTTCATTCTCCTCTCGGGATCTTGGACATGTATGCACACACGCCAAGCATGAGCTTTAAGCTGCTAGCTCCAGGACTTGAACCAGTCAATAATGTGGGAGTCCAGTGATGTAACCATTACAACATCTGCTGGTCCCTGCCATTCAATTTTTTAAACAAGTGATTTTTTAACTTTCAGATCACAGATCCTAATAACTGACTAGTCCTTGAGGCATGACATTAGTGGGACACAGATATGGTTTATTTCCTGTCGACAATGATATGTATAGTGTTCTCAACTGGATTGGTCTGAGAAGTATTTCATGATGGGTAAAGTCTTTTTACAAGCAAAATAAGAAATAGTGATTGACTGGTTCAAAAATACCTGGAATAATAATAATGATCAGAAAAAAAATGAAAAGATACTGAATGATGAAATGGGGATGTTAATGTCCTATACTGACTGACATGCATGGCATTCCCTTTTGAAAAAGCAATGTAATACACTGTAAAGTTATATGTAATCCAATGTAATATAAACAAGATTATGATGATAATAAATAAATTTCAAAAAAAGATTGAAGAAGAAATATCTTCAAAATCTAGACATCTAATTTGACATATGCAACCACCTCTTAAACACTTAGTAGGGTTCTATTTTGAAGGAATCTTAGGCTCACCTGTATTTTAGAACAATGTTTCATCTTGTCCTCCTGAGGTATGGTATTGGTGACTACTACAGCTTCAAAGCATGCATTGTTGATACGAGAGATGGCTGGACCAGAGAAGATTCCATGAGTTAAGATAGCATAAACTCTAGTAGCTCCAGCTGAGAGAAGTCTAGAGGGAACAAAATGATGAGTTAATCTTGTCACTACAGAATGTGAATTACTGGGAAGATGTATGTATATTAGTCAGCTCGGGCTGCCATTAAAAAATAACATCAACTGCATAGCTTAAACAAAATAAATCTATTTCTCACAGTTCTGGAAGCTGGAAATCTAAGATTGAAAGACAAGACAAGGTAGGTTTCATATTGAAGCTTTTCTCCTGACTTTATGTGGCTTCCATCTTGTATGCTCACATGACCTCTTCGTGTACATGTGCGAGGAGATTACCAGCAAATTTCTCTGTATTATCTTCTTATAGGGGCTCTACTCCCATCATGATCTGTTTATAACCTCATCTAAACCTACATGCCGGGGTTAAACGGTGGTGCAACAATAAAATGCAATACTCCGTGGAGCAGAACCACATGGGAAAGTTCCATGTTCACTTCTGGATACCTCCCTGAGTATGCCAGGAATACTTGTGCCCATGATCTGGGGCTGGCTGAAGTTGGGGAAGTTAAACCCTAGGCAGAGTGCTCTCTCTCTCTCTCTGGCTCATGGAAGAAATAAACTCTAAAAAAATAATAAATTAACCTAAATACCCCCACTAAGGTAATCTTCAAATACCATTACACTGAAGGTTAGGGCTCAACATATTAACTTTGGGAAGACATAATTTACCATACCAACGAGAGAGAACTGCATTAAGAACTTACCTAAATAGGTTTGGATTAATGTAAAGAGACTTTGGCACAGTGTGCTGCATTTTACAAAACTGATGTCCTTTTTTCCTGGGCACATACAAGGGCTTCTTTTTCCAGACTCCCTTGCACAATTAGGTATGGCCATATGGCTTAAATCTGGCTTTAAAATGTGGGCAGATAAAATACATATCACTTCTTGGAGGGACTTAGAAAAATGTTCCAAGGCAATCCTCCATATTCTTTTCACTTTCTAACTGGCCAAAATGGAAATATCTTCCAAGGTAATCTTGGAAGCTACATGTTAAAGATGGAGCACCACAAGATCTTAAGAATCTGATTTCTAAACTATTGCTTAGTGAAAATGAGCCCAACCAGGAACATTCACATTGGACTATGCCATGAGGAGAAGGAAATATTACCATGTTAAGCCACAGACATTTATTTCAGAGTTGACCTGTTATAGCACTTAATATTAACTTACTAATACAAAGATGAAATGGGTTTTATAAATGTAAACCTCAGGATCCAAGCCAGGAATGACTCAGCACCCAAATGTTTTTTTAAAAATAAGTATTTGGTATTTTTTAATTTCATGAAATAGCATGAGTCAGAGAGAGAGACAGAGACAGAGACAGAGAAAAGTACCCTCAACAGGGTCTCGTCACACTATGATTCTCTTTCCCCAGCCCTCCAGTTCTTCAGGATCATGAGCATCCATGCATGTGCCCAATCTATTTTCAGACCCACCCAGGATGTGAACCCACAGTCAGCAATGTGGCATCTGGCGTTATAATTCACTTTGGTACTGACTGTGCCACCAGCCTGGGCTTATGTTTTTGTTTTTGTTTACTGCATTCTTCCATGAGGATGAGACAGAGGGAGAAAGAAAAAGAGAAAAGCACCTCCAACAGGTCCCATGCCACAATCCCTCCTGACCAGCCTTCCCAGACAGCCAGGAACATGGGTGAATGCAAGCATGGTATAACACCAAAATATCTTTTTAGCACCTATTACATGTCAGGAAAGGCAGACAGTCATGTTTTTAAAAATCCATTTGTAAAAAACAATTCTGTTCACAGTGGCTTGGATTCTAAAAAATAAGGAGCCACTAAGAGTTTGCAGAAGTGGTGTGACGGAATCTAGCCTTAGTCTTATGAAGATAGGCAAGTGTGAAGGTAATATGAAAGATGGACTGTGCAGGTGAATATTGGTGAAAGGCAACAGAGAGCAGAATGGGAGATAATATAGAACAGCACAGGCAAGAGATAGGAAGTAATATGAACAAAAGTAGGAACAGTGGGCCAGCAGGTGGTGTGGTGGTTAAGGTGCTGGACCCTCACATGGCTGACTATAGTTCAAGTCCCAGATCTGCCTGCCTTCTCACTCCCCATTCTTCCAGTGAATTTAAATAATAACAATGAATAAAATTAAATAATTCTTTTTTGAGAGAGTTTTTTTGTTTGTTTGTTTTTGTATTTTTTTTTTTTTTTGCTGTAGGGTGCGCATGCTTGCCAGAGAGATGGAGAGAGACAAAGTGAGAAATGAGAAATCATCCCCAGAGGGGATGGCCCTGCTACAATCACTTCTCTATTATCCTCTTGGGATTTGGGGTATGCATGCACACACACCCAGTGTGAGTTTCAAGCTGCTGGTTTCAGAACTTGAACCATGGTTGGCCATAGGGGAGTCCAGCACTTTAACCACTATGCCACCTGCTGAGCCCCAGTAAATAATTCTATAAAAAGAAAAACAGTAGGAGCAGTAAAACAGATAGCCAAGAGGTAAGACCAGGATACTATTAACAGCTTAGGTATACTATAAATAAACAATTATGAGAATACATGTATCTGTTCAGATCAATGGATTTTTACCTAATCTCATTAAAACAAAAGCTATCAGGCCTGGTGGTTAAGGTGACTGGATTTCACATGGCCAACCAAACAGCTTGAGTCCTAGATCCAGCAGCTTCAAAACAAACAAACAAACAAACAGAAACCACACCAGGCATGTGTACATGAATGCCCAAAATCCCAAAGAAAGGGAGAAACTTTGACAGAGAAAAGACTATAGCATGCTCATGCTCATGCTCAGGGAGGTTACTTTATCACTCCCCATTCTCCCTCACTGGCAAGCACAAAACACCCTCTGGCAAAATTAAAAAATAATAAAAAAATAAATAAAGGGCCAGCCAGGTGGTGTGGTGGTTAAGGCAACCAGATCCCATATGGCAGACTGTGCAGTTGGAGTCCCAGACCCAGTGGAATAAGAAACATGCAGGGCGGGCATATTTGTGTGCATGCCCAGAATCCTAAGAGAAAAATGGAGAAGGAAGAAAATGGGCATCCCTTCTGGTAGGTAATTTCTCTCTCTCCCTCTCTCTTCTCTCTCTTCTCTTTCTCTCCCTCCCTCCCTCCGTCCCCTCATCTATCTCTGGTGAGCACACCCTTAGAGCAAAATTTTAAAATAAATAAATAAATAAACAAACAAGTCAAGTCTAAGGTGATAAAAATTTCCCCAAACTACCTATCCCCTCCATTCAGTTTCAAAAACTATGTGTAGGCTGAAGGCATTCAGACAGCGGTTGCTAGCTTTCCATCAGCCCCACCACTCCACACTCACTTGTCAGCTGCATGGCAGATTGTGCCACAAGTGTCAGCCATGTCATCCACAAGGATAGCCACCCGATCCTTCACATCTCCCACTAGCACCATGCGGTCCACTTCGTTTGCCTTCTTCCGTTCTTTGTGAATCAAGGCAAAATCCACATTCAACCGGTCTGCAATGGAGGTCACTCTACAAAACAGGGAGTGTTCAAAGTTAACACACGTGCATGTGGCCTCTAAGACAAAAGAAATGACTAAAGAATGGCCTGTTTTCTGAGGGGAAATGCTCCTTGAAACTAAACAGTTCCCAGGGCTGGACGAAGGCAACTACCATTGACATCGCAAAAGCAGAAACCAGACTGGGTTTTATAGACTAAACCATCCATATCCTGATAGCAGTTTATGAATGTATCCCTCAAACTTAGATATCATTCATTCTGCACAAGGAGTAGACAGGCACCATCACCAGTCCTGGGAAGCAGTATAATGGTAAGGCACTTATTTAATAAATTGGCAGCAGGAGGGAAGAGACTTTATTGATGCCAGGAGTGCACAGACCACTGCAATTTCTGTCATGAAAGATCTGTAGCTGCAGCTTTAGTGAGAAGTGAAACTGAAGCTGGCAGGAGAGGAGCAGTGCCCAGCCTGTTCCGATGCCCATGCCTTATTGCCCCCCTCAGCAATGGTGCCAAAACATCCACCAAAACAGCTACCAATTGCCAATGACTACTGTACCTGGACACCAAGCTTGGGAGTTCCTTCTACGACTGCTAGAAAGAAAGTTATACCAATTAACCAGACAAACTGGGCATCTCGCTGTATAGCCCAAAGTATCTCCAAATCAAAATAGAATTCTTATTTCTTTTATTACAAGATAATACACACCAGACCAAAAGGTAGGATAGAAAACCGATCTGACTGGTAACAAAGTAGCATAGTACTTCACTCAAACAGAAATCCATTCAGTGTAAATGACACAGAGCTGTCCCGGTGACATGTGCATTCATGCTCCGCTGTGCCATCCTCATCATGTGTGAAGATGACTGTGCCTGGAGATTTGTCTTGTTCATTGATGTATCACTGATGGAACTATGCCATTATGTCTCATTTCTAAATCGAGTACGGTCACATACCTGAATTTTTGTTGGTTTGTGCTTTGAACAATAACCTAGGCTAATATTTGTACCTTGGTTTAAATGAACCAAACCTGTGCTGTCACTACTGCATAGGCAGTGACCAAATCAAAGCTAAATGCATGACCAGTTAATTCAAGTGTCCCAAATTACACATACTCTCAATGGCCAATAAATTCAGTGATCAAAGAAACAAAAAGTGGGGTTTAAGAGAAGTAGCTCCCTACACTACCAAGTGGGGAAATACTGTAAAAATCACAATCATAGGAATCTCTTCTCCCAAAACCCTGCCAAGATGAAGTGACAGCCACTCATTTGGAAAATGCTCCATCTCCAAAAGACAATTACAATAAAAAAAGAAAATAAATCAAGCAGCAATGAGTCAGAATTACTGAAGGCAGTTCTCCTGTATCCAACTTTAGCGGGGAGGGGACCCTGCTTAATTATTTCAAATGTGACTAAGTCCCACGACAGTTTGTGAAAATAATGTCCAAGAAGATAAGTATGACAACTACCAGTATGGGTATGTTTTCTCAGCTGTCTCCAGTATTACAGATGGTAACTAGTGATTACATGGGACTCACCAAACCATACATCTGGTGTGATAAGAGAACTCAAGTTTTCAGCTTTTGAGTTCTGCTGAAGTTACTGAAATAAAGAGGTTGTTCAGAAACAGTCATTGAAGATCTGAATGGCTTTTAGCAAGTTCTGAATTAGCTCTTCCTAATCATCTGTTTTGTACCTCTTCATTCCATTTTCATAACAAGAACATGTGTCATACTTTTGGCTTTATTACTAAGGAGTAATATACACTGTGGAACTCAAGAACTTTTAGTCTGCACCATGTGAGCTGTAAAGTACCATCACTGGCAATCCTTGGAAATCAGTTTAAAATGTTATAGTCTTGGCTTTAAGTAAAAATACCAAAGATTATGTGTCATGACCATTGGTGGTGCAACAATAAAACATGACACTCTGTGGTAAGGTTCCCACATGGTATGATTCTGGATTCTCATCCAGAGACCTCCCTGAGTATGCTGGACACACATTATCTGGGGCTGGCTCAGGCTGGGCCCCAGATAATGTGTACTGTGAGGACCCTGTTGGGGGTGCTGTTTCTCTCTTTTTCTCGGTCATGGAAGAAACGAATAATGAAAAAAAATAATCACACAGTATTTTCCTTCATGCTTAACATTTTTTTTTGGGGGGGGGGAGAGGGGATTTTTTGCTATAGGGCGTGTGCGCTCGCCAGACAGACAGAGAGAGACAGAGAGACAGAAAGCGAGAAATCACCCCCCCGAGGGATGGTCACGCCGCAATCCCTTCTCCTCCATTCTCCTCTCGGGATCTTGGGCACGCACGCACACGCGCCTGGCGTGAGTTCTAAGCCACCGGGTCCGAGACGCGAACCGCGGTCGACTACGTGGGAGTCCAGCGACATAGCCACTACCCTAACTGCTGGTTCCCACTTCCTGCTTAACATTTTAATCCCAGGGATCAAAATGGTCTAACAACATTGAGAGATATGTAAAAGCTTACTCATGCACAAGTATGTGGCTTAGCAGAGGCTCTTCCACTCATTAGGAAACCAAATCTCCAACTCTTCCTAATGGTTTATAATAGTATTACTAGCTCTGTAGTGCCATATTACTACTAACATGTTGCCCTCAAGCCCACAATACCATGATAATTTAGGGTCCCTTTTCTGGCCTTGTCTTCCAAGTAGTGACCAAGACCAGTGAAAGAAGAGTGAGTACAAGTATATTTAACCTATGTTCTAGCTACTGGTACATCCATTCTGAAGTACTTACATATTGTCACTTGTAGAAAAAAATTATTCTTTTTTTTTTAAAGTTTATTCATTTATTTCAACCAAAAGAGAGAAAGAGACCAGCACCCCAACAGGGTCTTGATGCTATAATCCACCTCAGACTCTCCCAGCCCCAAATCATGGGCACTCGTGCATATTCAGGGAAGTCTCCAGACACAAACCCATAACCTTCCCAATGTGGTTCAGCCTTGCAGAGCACCTTACTTTTCCACTGTGCCACCAACTGGCCCAAAGGAACATCACTTTTTGACACACAACTGTCTGAACACCTTCCCAGTACATTGGGAACAATACTAATGTCAACCATACCTCTTAGCTCCACCAGCATCAGGTGAGACAATAGTGCAGTTCCTCCACTCAGAGATATTCTCCCTTATCCACTTCAGAACCGCTGGCTCTGCATACAAATTATCCACTGGAATATCAAAAAAGCCCTATAGAAAGAAGCATGATTAGTTTTGTTCTATTTTTCTTCTCTTCCATTCATAAATAGCTAAAAGAAAGAAAGTAGTAATGTGCCCAGGGAATACCTTACTGCAACATTCAACCTGATGGAGAGGCACACCCAGTGTGGATTATAGAAACAGCCTCTTCAAATCTGGACTGTGTGAGAACATCCAGCCAAGATCAGCAAAGTCAGCCCTCACCCAACCCACAACTGACCATAGGAACATGAGGGAACCCTTGTGAAAAACAGCCAGGTTCAGCTAAAACCATAAGAACTACCTGGCCAACAATGCAGACTCATGAGGTAATAAATAAGAACAACTTCGGGAGGCCAGCAGGTGGTGTGGTGGTTAGGGCGCTGGATACTACCACATGGGCAATCACAGTTTGAGTCCTGGACCTGGTGGCTTGCTTTCTCCCTCTATCTGTCTCTTCTCTGGTCAAATTAAATAAATAATTATTTTTTAAAATACAGAACTTTAAAGTCTGTGGAAAAATGGAATTAAAGTAACGGTGCAAAAAACTGAAATCTTTGCACATTTTCTTATGCTAAACATTTTCCACAAACTTTCTGGAAACTGCTCCCATACTGTTTTCTACTGCTAACTGCTAGGCCTGTTTGTTAAGAGACAAAATTAACTGGTAAACAAGTTAGACTATGATACATAAACATCGTTGAAGCTCTTATAATAAATGGTCACAAAGAATAACCAGAAGTGGGCCAGTAAGTGACATGGAGGTTAAGGAGGCTTGATCTCACATGGCTGACTGCATAGTTCAAGTCCCAAACTTGGCAGTTTGAAAAACATGCTGAGCATGTGCATATGTGTGCCTGAAAATCCCAAGAGGAAAATGGAGAAGGAATTGTGGCATAGCCATCTACCCTAGGAAGTAATTTCTCTTTCTCACTCACTCTCAGGCAAGTGCACACACCCTATAGCAAAAAAGCGAAAAAAAAAAAAAAAGGCTTTAACTTTTAAGCAAAGTTTCTTAGCATTTCTTTGATTTATTAAAACTAAAACTGCTTTTCTTGAAATTAAATATATTAAAAAATACCTATTTAATGACCGTAGTAAGCTATATAGCATTAGCTACATACTACTATATAGTATATTCATTCTACTCAGTTTCACGCATAAAGTCAGACATGTATTCACAGATATGTATATACCAGCTGAACTTGCTATTGAAAGTAGTTAGATTATTTTAAAAATTTTATGAATCAATAAAATGTGGGGGATAAAAATGGAATGGAAAACAACTGTAGACACCTGAGATAGTTTGGGAGGAGGGTGGGAAATGGCAGAGGGTAAGAAATAGGGGGAAAAAAATAAATATGAAACTAGAAATGGAAAATTATCGACCATAACATGTATAATTAAGCCACTATGCAGTATGTTCTGGATGGAAAATCACATTTTATATGCAGTGATGATGCTCAGTGAATGAATGTAAATTAATTAACTAAAAAAAGGAGTTTTAAAAAAGGCAACAACAAATAAAGAATAACCAGAAGCCAGGAAATCGGCATTCTATTCTAGTTAATACAAATTAGCTGTATTTCTCAACTAAATTCTCCATCTCTAATCCTCTGTCCTATGTACCTTATTAGATTGCCACAAACCTAAAATGAAAATTATTTGAAAGTCTTTAAGAAACACCTATATAAAATACTGGTGGTATTCTTCCCCCTTATTTAGGGTTTATTCAGGAAGTAGGTTCCAATATCTATGGCTCTAATTTAACACTGAATATTCAAGGGGAATAATAATAATAATCACTTGCAACTACTGAATACTTGTCAAGGGCCAGACGTTGCATTAGGAATTTAATCTTATTTTATACTCACAATAGTGAAAAAGTGTATGTTCGAGCAAGTTAAGTAAACTGTCCGAGGTTACAAAGCTAGGTTGTCGGAGCCAGTATTTAAAATAGGTCTGGTCCCATAACGTCAGATTGCTTTCCCGTCTAATTAACCCAAATGACTATACAGTCTTGAAGTATGCCGAACGTAAATACACATTTCTAATGTATGTCAATGTCTAGTTTATTTGACCTGTACTTGGGCACAGGTTTTTGGTTTCTGGGGTAATCCTCCATATTATCAGTCCTCTCCTCCTACTTTTCTAACCCCCAATACTTAGCTTTCACTGATACCTGAATTTGAGAGGCATGTAGGTCCATGGTGACAGTATGATCTGCCCCTGCCACAGATAGCATGTTTGCAACAAGCTTGGCTGAGATTGGAGCCCGGCTCTAAGTGGAGAGAAGAAAGAGAAAAAAAAAAAAGACTCATTTGAAGAGTTCATTTCTTCAGTAAACATTTATTGTGTACCTTCTATCTTTAAGACACTGTCCCACCAGGAAATTCATAGAAAGAGACATGGCCATTGACTTAGAGTAGAGATCATAATCTAGAAAAAAAATTTAAGTGAAATATCACTTTTCCAGCTTAGATATATATTTCAATAAGGGAAACATTTTCCTAGCTTTCATTTTCTTAATGTATATATTTTCAGCCTATTCACATATTTCCCATGCTCACATTCAAATGAGACAGACCAAAAGAAAGAATTATATTATTTATACAATCTTCTTAAAAACACACATACCCAGGACCAGCAGATGGCATAACAGTTATGTTGCTGGACTCACATGTAGTTGACTGCAATTTGAGTCCCGGGACCCAGTGGCTTAAAACTCATGGTGGGTGCATTTACACTCATGCCCAAAATTTTAAGAGGAGAATGGAGGATAAAGGGTTACAGCATGGCCATCCCCCCTGGAGAGTGATTTTTCGCTTTCTGTCTCTGTCTCCTCAGTGAGTACATGCGCCCTATAGCAAAAATCTCTCTAAAAAAACTTATTCAAACCTGTGTAACATCACAAAACAGAAATCATAGGTTTTTTTATCCAGTATATCACTACCATACTTACCTGAACAACTTTTCAGCAAACTTAATGCCCTGAAATAAAAGGTAAATATATCTGCTTTACTGTAAAACAGCAAAGCCCATGCTTTTGATAATCTGTTGGAATAAAAATATCTGTTCTTCTAACAGACACTGAATTTAATAATTACGCATGAATTTTCGCTTCATCAGGTAAGTCATGATACATTTTTGCATAGAAAAACAGAAAAAAATGCGTCATGACTTTCCTAACAACCTAATACAACAGATGAGCAAAGCTTTATATATAGTATTTTTTCAAGAGAGATTTTTGCTATAGGCATGTGCACTTGCCAGAGAGAAAGAGACAGAAAACGAGAGATCACCACCCCAGTTGGGACGGCCATGCTGCAATCCCTTCTCCTCCATTCCCTTCAGAATTTTGGGCACAAACACATGCGCCTGACATGAGTTTTAAGCTGCTGGATCCAGGACTCAAACTGCAGTCAACTACATGAGAGTCCAGCAACGTAACCATTATGCCATCTGTTGGTCCAGCTTTATGTACAGTCTTTATCCTCTAACATATCAGAGAAAATGAACTATGAGGGTAGTTCCAAAAGTTCACAGAAAATGGAAATAAAGTAGAAGTTTCTACAAAAACCACTAGTAGAAATTGGAGAGAAATAGGTTTATTTCATTGAATCCTAACAATGCTGCTAGTTGTAAAATGTGATTAAATGCTTTGCCCTCTGGGGGGAACAAAAGCACAAGTTTATTTTGGTGCAATAAAATTTTAAAGGGTCAGTCCCTTGGCCTAGTAATTAAGGGAGCCAGATCCCATATGGCCAATCGTGGTTCAAATCCTGACCTTGGTGACTTGAAAACCACATCAAGGGACCAGCAAGTGGTAAGGCAGTTAAGGCAGCTGGATCCCATATGGCCAAGTGTTATACAATTAAAAATACCAGTGAGCTATTTGAAAGTTACACATGCATGACTAGCATAAAATAGAAATTACAAATATGTTATTTTATATGACAATTATATGCCTATTGTTTTGAAGACAGGATAATATCTAAGAAAAATGTAATTTTAAAAATACCCCCAAGGAGGACCAGCAATTGGCATAATGGCTATATCACTGGACTCCCATGTAGTTGACTGCGGTTTGAGTCCCAGGCCAGTTGGCTTAAACTCATGCCAGGCGTGTGTGCATATGTGCGTGTGTGCCCAAGATTCCGAAAAGATAGTGGAAGAGAAAGGATTGTGGTGTGGTTATCTCCCCTGGGAGGGTGATTTCTTGCTTTCTGTCTGACTCTCTCTGTCTTTTTGGCGACCGCATGTGCCCTATAGCAAAAACCTCTCCAAAAAAAAAAAAGAAATAAAAATACCCCCTAAATATATATCTGACAGTTCAAGAATTTTTATGACTTTAGGCAAGTGCTCCTGCTTCTCTTGCTTTAAGATTCTTCTTGGGCCAGCCAGTGGCATGGTGGCTATGATGGCTGGATTCCACATGACCAACTACATGGTTTGAGTCCTGGACTTGGCGGCTTGAAAACACAACAGGTATATATGCACATGCGCCCAAAATCCCAGGAGGATAATGTAATAGAAGGGATTAATTTTGGCAAGACTACCTTGCCCCCGCCAAGGGGGTGCATTCTTAGCCTCCTTCCTTCCTTTTCTTTTCTTTCTTCCTTCCTTTCTTTTTCTGGCCTCTCTCCCCACTCACCCCCACTCTCCCTCTCATGCAAAGCACATACAAAGCCTCTAACAAAATCAAAAAACCAAATCAATGAACAAAATTCTTCTCCTACCTTATCTTTCTTATCCTGCCGGGCATAAGGAAAGCATGGGATGACTGCAGTAACCCGGCTGGCTGAAGCAATCTTGCAGGCATTAATCATGATCAAAAGCTCCATCAGATTGTCATTGATTTCACCACAACCACTCTGAACAATGTAGACATCCTCTCCACGTACACTTTCGCCAATTTCCACACTACAATGAATAAAGAACATAAAACAATAAATTAAGTATTAATACCATACTTCAACAGATAATAAAAAGCAAAGCTTCTCTACAAGGATGCTGTGAGTGGTTTATGGCTACATGGGGACATTGATCCTCTCAGACCTTAAGAAATCTCCTGAAAAAGAACCTATACTAGAAGCAGTTTGCTGCCTCAGTTTACTCCTGCGCGCTATACAAATATTACCATTTTCTACACACAACATGACATTGAAAAGATTGGCTGACGTTAATCTAAGGCACTCACAAATAACTGGACCGTAATTTCAGTAGATGGCTTAAATCTTATTTCATACAAGTACATATGATATGAATGCAAATTTGATACATCACGTATGACTGTTACATAATCCATACATAACAAAAAAGTAGAATTATCATAAGGAATGAATCACTACTGTTCTATAATAATACTTTGACAGATGAAAGTACCACCCCTCTACCATATTGGTGATTCACTCAGTAAATATCAAATGTTCATATGCTAGTCACAATGCTAGGGGATAGGGATACAGGGTGAATAAAAACAGATGTGGTCCTTGCCCTCATTCTCTGCTGTTATTTCTGGCCTAATCAGTAAGTCTTATTTAATATTGGGTCATCGGAAAAGTCATGACACATTTTTACATAGAAAAACATAGAAAAATGTCATGACTTTTCCAACAACTCCATGGGAAGCTACTCTAATTATGGAGCAGAGCTATATTTTACTAAAAATAGAAAGCTTTAATATCCCTACTTGGGTCCCTACCAAAAAAACCTATGATTAAGAAAAAAAAGTCACCCTAAAGCAGCACCATTTCCCCTAGTAATCCTCTATGTGAGATGAGGTCACATGTGTACATGCACATGTGTGTTTTTGTAAACAAATAGATCAGAAAGGTTGATAGCGCCTATTGAGCTAGAGAAAAACTTACTTCAAATCAAAAGACAATACCGTTATTAAATAAAAGATCTATACTTTTATCTCACCATAACTATCACTTTTTGTGTGGCTTCAGGAACTACCCACTGTCCTATGCCTATCAGACCACGTTTACCTCATCCTTCTTTCCCCAAACAAAATTTCAAGGAGCATTCTGAAAGGGACTTGTATTCAAACCAGGAAAGGTAATTACTAGAAGCTGAGAGGAGATCATTTTTTCTAATTCAAGTTAGATACTGTTTTTTAAAATGATGGGGTTCTTGTTTATATCTTAAAGAAAAATAAAAAGTACCAAAAAAAATCAAGCTAGAAACCAATTATAACAGGGAGCCTGAGGTTCCTGGTAACCAGAACAAAAAAAGAAGAGTTTAAGATAGCTGAAGATAAATTTTCTTCAGGTACCGACTTCAAGTATATAATACTATATGGGGTCCTTATGCTAAAGGTGCATTATTTTGCAAGTCAAAAAAATTAAGTCCCTACCTCAAGAAACATGAAAAAGAGCAAAATAAACCGAAAGCAAGCAGAAGGAAGAAAATAACCATAAAGGCTGAAATCAATAAAATAGAAAATCAATGACACAAAAGGCAAGTTCTTGGGAGGGAGGAGGAGAAATCAGTACAAATGATAAACTTTTAGGAAGCCTGACAAAAAAAAAAGCTTCGCTAGAGAATTCTACTAAGCACTTAAAGAAGAATTAACCCCCATCTTGCAAACTCTTTTCCAGAAGACAAGTAAGGGAATAACTTTCCAACCCATTTCATGAGGTTAGAACTATTCAGATACTGAAATGAAACGAAGGCAATATAAGGAAGAAAACAACTGGGGGTGATGAGAGAAAAGTGGATGTGGTTATAACAGAACAACAGGAAGGATCCTTGTGGTGATAAGACCGTATTGTATCTCTTTTAGTTTATTTCATTTATTCCACGTGTGTCAGTGATATAGCACCCCTGGCAGGGTCACGATAACACAATCCTGTCCCCAGATTCAGCCAGCCAGAGATCATGGCCACATGTGTGCTCAGTCTGGACTTGAACACAGAACTTTCCCATGTGGCTCGGCCTCACAAAGCATCCACTGCACCACCTTCTGGCCTCCCATTATGTATCTTGACTCTATCAATGTCAATATGCTGACTGTTGTAACAGAGTTCTATAAAAACTATACTATGGCAGGACCAGCAGTTGACGTTACAGCTATGTCACAGGACTCCCATGTAGTCGATCGCAGTTCGAGTCTTGGACCCGGTGGCTTAAACGCATGCTGGGAGCATGTGCGTGTGTGCCCAAGATCCTGAGAGGAGAACAGAAGAGAAGGGATTGCGGCGTGGCCTCCCCCCCCCACACACACAGGGTGATTTCTCACTTTCTCTCTCTCTGTCTTTCTGGCGAGTGCATGTGCCCTATAGCAAAAAGCTCTCCAAAAACCAAATCCAAAACCAAAACCAAAACCAAAACCAAAAACAAACTATACTATAGAAAAACTACAGTTAGGAACTTAGAAGAAACTAGGTAATAGGTATACTGGGGTTCTCTAATTTCTCACAAATGCATGTAAATATACAATTATCTCAAAAATTTAATATTAACAAAAGTTGAATTATCTGGACAGCAGGTGGCGCAGTTGGAGCCCTGGACCGGGTACTGAAAATCATGCTGGGTGAGTTTGCATATGTGTCTGGAGAGGAAAACGGAGAAGGGATTGTGGAGAGGCCATCCTCCTCAGGAGTGGTTTATGGCTACATGGGGACATTGATCCTCTCAGACCTTAAGAAATCTCCTGAAAAAGAACCTATACTAGAAGCAGTTTGCTGCCTCAGTTTACTCCTGCGCGCTATACAAATATTACCATTTTCTACACACAACATGACATTGAAAAGATTGGCTGACGTTAATCTAAGGCACTCACAAATAACTGGACCGTAATTTCAGTAGATGGCTTAAATCTTATTTCATACAAGTACATATGATATGAATGCAAATTTGATACATCACGTATGACTGTTACATAATCCATACATAACAAAAAAGTAGAATTATCATAAGGAATGAATCACTACTGTTCTATAATAATACTTTGACAGATGAAAGTACCACCCCTCTACCATATTGGTGATTCACTCAGTAAATATCAAATGTTCATATGCTAGTCACAATGCTAGGGGATAGGGATACAGGGTGAATAAAAACAGATGTGGTCCTTGCCCTCATTCTCTGCTGTTATTTCTGGCCTAATCAGTAAGTCTTATTTAATATTGGGTCATCGGAAAAGTCATGACACATTTTTACATAGAAAAACATAGAAAAATGTCATGACTTTTCCAACAACTCCATGGGAAGCTACTCTAATTATGGAGCAGAGCTATATTTTACTAAAAATAGAAAGCTTTAATATCCCTACTTGGGTCCCTACCAAAAAAACCTATGATTAAGAAAAAAAAGTCACCCTAAAGCAGCACCATTTCCCCTAGTAATCCTCTATGTGAGATGAGGTCACATGTGTACATGCACATGTGTGTTTTTGTAAACAAGTAGATCAGAAAGGTTGATAGCGCCTATTGAGCTAGAGAAAAACTTACTTCAAATCAAAAGACAATACCGTTATTAAATAAAAGATCTATACTTTTATCTCACCATAACTATCACTTTTTGTGTGGCTTCAGGAACTACCCACTGTCCTATGCCTATCAGACCACGTTTACCTCATCCTTCTTTCCCCAAACAAAATTTCAAGGAGCATTCTGAAAGGGACTTGTATTCAAACCAGGAAAGGTAATTACTAGAAGCTGAGAGGAGATCATTTTTTCTAATTCAAGTTAGATACTGTTTTTTAAAATGATGGGGTTCTTGTTTATATCTTAAAGAAAAATAAAAAGTACCAAAAAAAATCAAGCTAGAAACCAATTATAACAGGGAGCCTGAGGTTCCTGGTAACCAGAACAAAAAAAGAAGAGTTTAAGATAGCTGAAGATAAATTTTCTTCAGGTACCGACTTCAAGTATATAATACTATATGGGGTCCTTATGCTAAAGGTGCATTATTTTGCAAGTCAAAAAAATTAAGTCCCTACCTCAAGAAACATGAAAAAGAGCAAAATAAACCGAAAGCAAGCAGAAGGAAGAAAATAACCATAAAGGCTGAAATCAATAAAATAGAAAATCAATGACACAAAAGGCAAGTTCTTGGGAGGGAGGAGGAGAAATCAGTACAAATGATAAACTTTTAGGAAGCCTGACAAAAAAAAAAGCTTCGCTAGAGAATTCTACTAAGCACTTAAAGAAGAATTAACCCCCATCTTGCAAACTCTTTTCCAGAAGACAAGTAAGGGAATAACTTTCCAACCCATTTCATGAGGTTAGAACTATTCAGATACTGAAATGAAACGAAGGCAATATAAGGAAGAAAACAACTGGGGGTGATGAGAGAAAAGTGGATGTGGTTATAACAGAACAACAGGAAGGATCCTTGTGGTGATAAGACCGTATTGTATCTCTTTTAGTTTATTTCATTTATTCCACGTGTGTCAGTGATATAGCACCCCTGGCAGGGTCACGATAACACAATCCTGTCCCCAGATTCAGCCAGCCAGAGATCATGGCCACATGTGTGCTCAGTCTGGACTTGAACACAGAACTTTCCCATGTGGCTCGGCCTCACAAAGCATCCACTGCACCACCTTCTGGCCTCCCATTATGTATCTTGACTCTATCAATGTCAATATGCTGACTGTTGTAACAGAGTTCTATAAAAACTATACTATGGCAGGACCAGCAGTTGACGTTACAGCTATGTCACAGGACTCCCATGTAGTCGATCGCAGTTCGAGTCTTGGACCCGGTGGCTTAAACGCATGCTGGGAGCATGTGCGTGTGTGCCCAAGATCCTGAGAGGAGAACAGAAGAGAAGGGATTGCGGCGTGGCCTCCCCCCCCCACACACACAGGGTGATTTCTCACTTTCTCTCTCTCTGTCTTTCTGGCGAGTGCATGTGCCCTATAGCAAAAAGCTCTCCAAAAACCAAATCCAAAACCAAAACCAAAACCA